GGTGAATAGGTAGCCTGAAGAGTGTCGCTGCTGGCTATTAAAGCCCAGCATTGGGGGTGGTCAGAAGACTCCCCCTCCTCTCCCAAAGCCTGGCAGCAGAGTTCCTGTGCCCAGAAGGAATGGCAGAGAGGGCAAGTGACAGAGAATCCCTCCACTTGTCTGGAGTGTGGTTCTCAGCAGCCCAGGGAGGAGCCTCCAGAGGCAAAGGAAAGCAGCTAAAAGACATCCTTCCTTCTTCTCCTCCCTCTCCTTCTATTCTTTTGTCATCTAACTCCTCCCGTCCCCACCTCCCAAATGCCACATCCAGTTTGGTGTGACCTTGAGCTCCCTCTACTGGCCAGCCTTCAGTGCTGCAAGGAGCCAAGCCCAGGTACCCTCACTTGTTTTCTTCTTCCCCCTGAAGAGGCTGTTATACCCTCTCCCCGACTCTGGGGTTCCTGAGGAACTGGAGCATGAAGAGAAAACAGGGCTGGTCAGCACACTGGAGGTTTCCAAGGTCTGAGCCCCCAGCCCCGCCTTTGACACCAGGAGCATGTCCCTCACACCCTCACCTCATGCTCAGTTTCCTGGGGTCTCCAGACTCCTACTCCAACTAATTCACAGAGACGTTGATTTCTGGAGCCTTCGGCTGATACATCAACTCCGACTGTGGAACAGAGATCCCAGGATGAGCTGGAGAGAGGGAGGGGAGGGGGGGAGGGGAGGGAAGGGAAGGGAAGGAGAGAAGAGAAAAGAGAAGAGAAGAGAAGAGAAAAAGGGACCCAGAGAGTGAAAGGATATAAACCCACATTGAGACAAAGACAAAGATCAGGGTTGAGAAAGACAGCCCACTAGAGCTGTGTCCCCAGCCCTTTCCGCCCCCATGGGCTCATAAACCAGGGTCCCTCCCCTAAGAAGAATGATTTCCCTCACCCCTTCAGTGTGCCTGTGTCAATACAGAGCTAAGAGGAGTGACTACTGGTCAGATTTTCAGGCTTAATAGAGGTATTAGACTTTAGGGACAACTCCTGGACAAGTGTCCTCTCCCCACCCCTGCCCCCTTCTCCTGAGAGGGCCCATCCTGGAGCTCACATCTTTACTGTCACTTCCACTGAATGAGTACTCTGGCTCCAGCCCCTTCTCAGGGATGCTCTTCTCCTTCCCTGGCATCAGCTCATCCAGCCAGAGGAGTTCCTGTGCTGAGAAGACCCACTCCAGTGCCTTTCGGACCCCCACCAGGCCCAGCAACTGCAGAGATAGAATCAAAGCCCAGGGCTTCACCAGCAGGAACACGTAAACAGTAACCTCTATTCAGCACTTCTTCCTAGGCATTGGGTATTGTTTCACTGAATGCTAACACATTCCTACAGGGTGGATATAATAACTATTCCCATTGTACAGAGAAGGAAACGGAGGCCCTGAGAGTTTAGGAACTTCACAGCTGGGATGTGGTTGGTCCTACTGCAAAGCCCATGGCTCTTAACTTCCTCAGTGAGTAAGAACAAGGCCAAAAGCCACCTATGTTATCACCTCACCGGATAACAAAAGTGACGGCATTGCCTTTTGCCTTTCCCAGGGCCTCACTTTTTTTCCTGGGCTTTATATCCCCCTACCTGTAGTTGATCAGCACACAGAAGTTGGGAAAGGAATTGAATCAGGCATCCCAGACCTAGCCCATCTGTGGGCATTCCGTGGCCATCTTTCTTTGTTCTAGGGATTCCCAGGCAGAGCAAGGGCAAGTGAGAGAGGGAAGGGCCTTCCTCTTGAGGAGGCCTTGGCCACCCACCCAGGCTCAGAGTCTTCCAAGAACCCCAAGTAGACCGCCCAGCCTTGAGTCACCATGATGGGGAAGATGATGGCTGCAGGGGTAGACTTGACTATCCAAAGCAGACCCAGGCAGGCAAGCTGGATGGCTGTGAAGAAGTGGACCCTGCCCAGAGGCACATGCCTCAAGAGCAGGAGGTCTGGCTGGTGTTTGGCTGGCATCAATAACAGCTGCACCCTCTTCGTGAACTGGGGGAACAAGAGGAGGAGGAAAGCAGGGTACTCAGGTAGCCTGGTTAAGTGTCACTGTTAACTATTAAAGCTCAGCATTGGGGACAGTCAGAAGACTCCCATGGCCGCCTCCTCACCCAGAGCATTGCTGCAGGGTCCCTGTACCCAGGAGAAGCAGGAAAAGAAGACAGGAGGGAAATTAGCAAGTGCAGGCAGGAAGTACCAGCAGGAAAGAAAAGGAGGAGGATTGGGGTTACATCTTGATTTTAATGGGCTCACCTGGATGCTGCTAATTGCCGCCACCCCCATGTACAGGAAGATGCCGTAGAGCACAGGCATTGGGATGAACTGGTGAAGAAAGAAGTGGAGAGCTGGCAAAGGAGTTCATCTCTGCCAGCTGCCCAGGTATCCCCCTCAGGCCCCAACCCCAGCATCCAGCATCTAAGCTGTTGAAGTCTATTCCGTCCTTTCCCACATGTCTGATCTCATGGAATTTTCACATCACTCAAATGAGGTAAACCCTATAATTGTCTCCATTTTACAGATGGGAAAATTGGGTTTCAGAGAGACTAGGTAGCTTGCCCATTACCTGGCCGGCCTCCCCGATCTTATCTATCACTTTCTTCTCTGCTCTCTCTCTTCCTGCTATACTGGCCTCCTTTCCTTCCCTCAACATGACCAAGTCTATTTCTACCCCTTGCAAGGCCTTTGGCTTTGCTATTTCCCTCCACCTAAAATACCCTGACTGCTCACTACTCATGCTTCTCACTACTCATCTCATGGCCCCCACCCCCAGGAAGGCCTTCCCTGACCCTCCGATCTAAAGTAGACCCCTTAATCACCTTACCCTCTTTTACTTTTCACGGAAGTGATCACTGTCTGAAATTATCCTATTTTATTTTATTATTTATTTATTCAATCATTCATTCATTCATTCATTCATTTTTATCTGTCTCCTCTCACCAGACTGCAAGGAGTAAGTGATCTCTTTTGATCACCACTCTATCCCCAGTCCCTGGAACTGTGCTTGGCATATGGCTTATGCTCAGTTAATATCTGCTGAATGAGAGTCACCTAGTTAGTAAGCAGCCAATCCGGTCCATCTGGCTCTTTCAGCTACTCCACTCTCACCCAGTCTCCGTGACCTTTCCCTCCCCTCGCGTCTCTGTGGTCCTGCCAGTGACTCCTGTGTGCCATTCTCCACACCCTCCTTGACTGCTTTGCTGTCTCGGCTTGTTGAACTTCTGCTATTACTTGTTACTTAATTTTGGTTCGTGTATGTGTTGCTGACAGGGGCTTGGTTCCATATTCCTTTTCAATACTCCCCCTACCTCCTCCCATACACATGTCTCCCAGGTGCCTAGCCGAGCTTTGCACACAGCAAGTGTTCTACAAACATCTGGTGAGGGGGAAGTGAAGGGCTTTTGCCTCAAAGTTTTTCTGGGGTCTGATGACCACACTCTGAGTCTAAGGCTTGTTGGGAGGCTGGAGCAAGGGCAGTGTTTGGCCGCAGGGGCATGGTGGCATGCCTGCACCCTGTCCACTGGGTAAACAACCCACTGGGTAAGAGTTTGGGTTCTCAGACAGATCTAAGAAACTAGTTCTCTTGGTGGTCTCTGTAACCTTGAGGTCCCTCATTTGTAAAGGACATATGCCTCTCGGGGTTAATGTGAGGATTGCATGAGACGAGGAATGGAGAAGAAACTGAACACAGTGCCTGGCATGCAGTAAGTGTTCAGCCAGTGTCGGTTCTTGCTGTATTTATTATTACCGCCCCGCCCCTGATGCCAACCTGTCTAACAAATGTACCTTGAGTACAGGTGCCAGGAAAATGGAGATTCCTGTGAGTATGAACACCACCAGGCCTGTCAGCCTCTGCTCCCTGCAGGGAGAAGGAGTTAGCCAGGGTAGGGGAGAGTCCCTGGGGTGCCCAGGCTGGAGACACAAGCCAGACACCACTACAGACCCTGGCAAGAGGGAAGTGGAGGGATCCCCCAGTAGTCACCTGGCAGGGAGGGGGGCCTTAGCTTGGTGTGAAAAACTGGTGGAGAGAAAGGGT